ACACATATGTAATCAGCACAAAGCACATATACTCATATTCATATTGTATACCTTACTTGGCTATATACCTATAACAGATAAGTAATAAACATTTCATAACATATGACATATCTTATAACTAATGCACAAATACAGTGCACGTCCTTGTGCCATCATCCTGTGCCACTGCACTTTACCGAAGTACGTCTCTCTGCAAACAATATTTCCAGCTGTAGTTTATATTATTCACATATTCACTGTATCTTTATTTTATTTATTTGTTTTTTTTACACACCAAGTAAAGATACCGGGGATGTTGCTGTGTGACTGTTATTTTTGCATCGGACCTGCTTCTGTTTGTGTTCGGTCAGGTGACCTGATGACGAGGACTGTTAAAAGTGACGAGCTTGAAAATGTTGGAAGGAGGAGAAATTCTGCAGCTGCCACTTGTGGCCGAAGGATTAGCTTTTCAGCAAACGTAGTTTCACATGAAGTAAACAATAGGAGAATAAAACATTCAACAGTCACGTATTCTTCCCTTTAGAAATTAAAGACGATTTTACACAAAATATAATGCAACAATAACAGGAGCAATTAAATGACTTTAAATATACATGAAACACACATACACACACGTCTGCATATCTAAATTAAACTAAAAAGTGAATTGGTCCCACTTTAATGTCCTTCAACTGTTCCTTGTAAGACATTTTGTACGTGTGATTCATCACTGAGCTGCATCACCTTGAATATCCGACACATGATTCGATCTTTACTTCCCCTCTAAGACTTCTCTAAGAGTTTTTGTCCATATCAATAACCTTGGAGTTTGACCTGCTCCGCTGTTTTGTCCATGAAACAACTTACGTCATAAACCATGAAAAAATGACTTTGTGAGTCTGCGTGTGTGTGTGTGTGTGTGTATGTGTGTGTTTTGTTCTTCCCAGGGCCTGACTCATCCGCCCCTGTGTTTACTTATTTAGGCCCACGAAGTCCTCTGGAAAATATGCATCGTTATAACTGTCCCTTTGTGAAGCACCAGGCCTCTGCAATATTTCTCACCTAGGTGTGTGTTTGCCAATGCCAGAGCGAGGCCTGCATCAGTTAACCCTCCGCTCACCAGGCAGCAGCAGAGTGTGTGTGTGTGTGTGTGTGTGTATGTGTGTGTGTGTGTGTATGAAAAGAAAAGCTGTGGGAAACCTTTGGTGGCTTTTCAAGCAAACTTCATATTTCAGAGCAGACGTTCGCTCACCGTGTGGGATGAAGAGGCTCCTCCTTTACCTCAGCTTGGACTTGGACGCCCGTCAGTCAAACTATTCAGATGGTATGTTCTGTGCTTTAATACGCATCACCGTGGCAACACCTGACAGCCAAAGCACACAGTGTTTTGTTGCTGCAGCTACAGAAGTCTCACCCCTGACTTCCCAAACAGGCATGATCACAGACCTAAAACCTAATTTGGAGCTATGACACAGCTTCCTGTGAGTGTGTCAGGGGTAAGCAGAGCATACAGGCCAAATCTGTGGGGGTTATGTCCAGTATGCAGTCACCTCTATTTTTTTTAACACTCTCTGTCTCCTTCTCTCAGTCTTCAAAATAAAAAAAAGACAACACACACACACACACACACACAAAACCACAGGGGAAAGGGAAGAGGCTGGTGAATGGACACGAGATGGAAAGGTGTGAGAGAGCCCCTTTACATTTATGGCCTCTGTAGAACTGGAGGAAGTGGTGTAGTAAAGTGGAGTCGCGCTCCAAAGACCTCACTCAATTCCAAGTACATCACAGACAGTGGAATCAGAGGCGACGGGAAACAGACACACCAAGGCCTCGGATCAGAAAACGCAAAACCTGTGGCAGGATCGGTGGAGACAGCTTGAATAAATAAAACGCTGACTACATTGAGGTGATGAAGGAGCAGAAGCTAATCTGTTCACAAGTGTGTCATTATAGGAGAGGCCTTGTATCACTGTGTGTAATCTTCTAGATCTAAGATTCAGAGAGTAAATATTAAGCCACAGATGGCAGAGGTGGAAGAAGTGTCAGATCTTATACTTCAACTACAAACTAAACGTAAAATGTTAATTACGGTCGCCAAGAAATAAAACTATTTATCTCAAAGTTTTGTGATCTTGATTTTCTTTCAGTACACTGACACGTGAAGTTTTTCTGTATGGTCAAAGAGAAAATACAACAGAGAAAATGGCCGTGTTTCTGTGCTCATGAAAAGCTGATATTGATAAAACTTGGTTCTCACAGGACAGAACAAAGTGCAGAGGTACAGTATGAGCCACATATTATTGAAAGTTATGTCAGTCTTATGATTGTTTACTATATATGTCCATATTCGTCAGGTTTATTCACTTTTTATACTTTCAGCCACTTTAATCTGCAACAATGCATCATATCATCTAAAATAATCATGTGTCCACTTGATAAAATCTTAATCTGTATGTAGTATAATACAATGAGTGGATTTTCTTCTTCAGCAGCGAGTTTAGCAAATTGGTTTTATTGAAACAGCAGAATCACCCTGTGCCGAGCACTCGGCCTCCGGCAGGATGAAATATTTAATATTAGAGTCTCAGAGTGAGACGTGCAGGCCCATTATGCAAATGTGGGCATCACTTGTGGGCTGTCCACACTTTGGCACAACAGGAACACAGGGCCTGCCCTAATGGCCCATACTCGGTAAACACAGACCTTCTCCCATGTGGATTAGAGACAACAAAAGATTAGCACTATTTGCAAATATACAGCTGAGTTCAAAGACTGCAGCTCTCTTCCCTCGCTTCCCTTCTTTTGTCTCAGCGCACAGCTTTGAATGTGTCGGCCCATCACATGCAACACACTGCAAACACTTTTCAGATATTAAACCATAAATCCCAAACTTCACAGGAGTTATACTTAATATTATATCTTAGATTGTCTATAACAGGTGTTTAAATAGTACATGGTTTGAGCAGTGCTGGGTTGAAGGTAGCTCGTTTCCATTTAAAGGGTAAAAGTTGATTTTAAATAAGAAATGCTAAATTGTGAAGAGAGGTTCAGCCTGTGTGTGTGGGCGGTGTTTGGAGACGTTGAACCCGGTCAGAGAGGCGAGGTGCGTGCCTGCGCGCACAAACCACGCCCCGCATCCCCATGAGGTCCCTGGGGGCCCTTAAAGGATGAGGCCTCGGATATTAGGAAGCAGTGATTCGCTCGGGCCTGCACCTCTCAGCCATCGGCCGTTATCTGAGTCAGTGAGCGTAACCGAGCACTCAACGTCTTGGATCTTAGTTTCAACTCTTGTTCTTGGAAATATGACTTCTTCCAACCCCGACCAGCGCCTGGAGCATCTCCTCAGCGCCGTGGAGAACGAGTTCCAGAAGGGCAGCGAGAAGGGCGACGCATCCGAGCGGGATATTAAACTGACGCTGGACGATGCAGACTTGTGGAACAAGTTCAAAGAGTTGACCAACGAGATGATTGTCACCAAAACTGGGAGGTGAGTGGAGCAATGCGCTTTGTGAGGAGGCCCCGCTGCTGTGCCATACGCACTGTACGGGCAAACGTTGCAACTGAGCGCATTTTACGCACGGTTTTTAAAACTGAAATATTAAGAGTTGTAACAGTTATTCTGTAAAATACGACAGATTTTCAGTTGTATAAAGAATTGTTTAAATTTGATATTGTAAAGTCACACACACACGCACACACACACACGCGTAAATGCGCTGTCAAAGTGGTGCTCCTGAAGCCTGGGAGGCCTCGGGAGGATTTTAGAAAAGAGTAACTGGACTTTTTAACTGAAGCTTCTAAAGTCCTCATTTTAAACAAATTTATCCTACATTTAAACTATCTCTTGGTCTCAAATAAAAATCCTTTTAAATTATTCTTTTCCAGGAGGATGTTCCCGGTGCTTAGGGCCAGCGTCAGCGGCCTGGACCCAAACGCCATGTACTCGGTGCTGCTGGATTTCGTGGCCGCGGACAACAACCGGTGGAAGTACGTTAACGGGGAGTGGGTCCCCGGTGGTAAACCCGAGCCCCAGAGCCCCAGCTGCGTCTACATCCACCCGGACTCCCCCAACTTCGGCGCGCACTGGATGAAAGCGCCAGTCTCCTTCAGCAAAGTCAAACTCTCCAACAAACTGAATGGAGGCGGACAGGTGAGGAAACACATGAATTATTCATGGTCATTTGAAAAGCTTTTATTTCTGTTGTGCCACATTCAAGCTTAATGAGCTTTAAAAAGTGGAAACAGCTGGCTGAGAAGAAAATAAGTTATTATCCAGTTATAATAAATATATCTGAGAAATATACATTTTAACTTGGTTTCTCAAATTTACCTTTGTAGAATTCATTCAGTGTTTTGGAAGATGACAAAATAATGTGCATCATTAGTAACAGCATTTTTTTCATATATGAGACCACTGGACTTAGGTCTTGACCTAATTCACTAATTAAAACAGTTGCGGCGACAAATAATAATATTCAATGGTATTTCCTGTTTCCATATAGATCATGCTGAATTCTCTGCACAAGTATGAGCCTAGGATACACATTGTGAAGGTTGGCGGGATCCAGAAGATGATCAGCAGCCAGTCCTTCCCCGAAACGCAGTTCATCGCCGTCACCGCTTACCAGAACGAAGAGGTCGGTCACCTCCCTGCCTGTTAAACCTTCCTGATGCTGATTTGTTTTAGATATGAACTGAGATGCTAACAAGGTGTGACATTCTGCCCACAGATCACTGCTCTGAAGATCAAGCACAATCCATTTGCCAAGGCCTTCCTGGACGCCAAAGAGAGGTACAACCTTAAAACCTCAATTAAAACCTTTAATATGAGGTTTATTGTAAAGTTGGTTCGGACTAATATTACAGCAACTAATGTTAATGCGTATGTTTGCAGGAGCGACCACAAAGACATCCCCGATCACAGCGGAGACAGTCAACAGTCTGGATACTCTCAGCGTGAGTTTCTTTCATTTCTCCATATTTGTAAGGACAATATTTAAAAAATCAAAATGCTGTATCTGCTGCTGAAGGGCAGCGCGAGCTCTGTGGATTGGGGTGTGCACTGTATGACTTTGTTGTGTTTGTTTTCCACAGTTGGAGGTTGGTTCCTCCCAGGCCAGAGTCCCATCTGCCCAAGCAGCAGCCCCCCTCAGTTCAGCAGCACAGCAGCCCACTCCTCTGGCTCCTACTGCGAGCGCTACTCCAGCCTGAGGAGCCACAGATCCGCCCCGTACCCCAGCCACTACCCGCACCGCACCTCCAGCACAAGTAAGACCTGCTCACGTTGTGAACACTAAATTAAACATTCAATGGTAAAATGGAGAGTTTTTTAAGTAATATGGTTTTGGCTTTTTTAAAATTTTTCAGACAACTACATGGACAACACCTCCGGTTCTCTGCCGAGTCACGACAGCTGGTCTGCTCTTCAGATCCCCAACTCCACAGGCATGGGAACTCTGTCCCACACCACTAACTCCACATCCAATTCCAGGTCAGTCCCTCAACTTTATAAACAGGGGCCACTTTTGAATTTAAGCTGGAATCGCTAAAACTTTAAATCAGATTTATAGTTTTATTATTCTGCATTATCGGCAGTTGAAGCTGTTCAGTGTCATTGATAGTTGCAACCTGGTTTGACTCCTGCTTTGGTACTTTGGCTGAGAATCCAGATGTTATTACTCGGTTATGTTATGATTACAAAGTGATGCCACCGAAATAATCTAAAACCCTCTTTCTTAACCTCCACAGTCAGTACCCCAGTTTATGGTCGGTGGCTGGCTCCACCCTCACCCCTTCAGGCTCGGCCTCAGGCTCCATACCTGGAGGTCTGACCTCCCAGTTCCTGAGGGGCTCATCCTACACAGGCCTGACCTCCGCGCTGCCCGTCTCCTCGCCTTCTTCCATGTACGACCCCAGCCTGAGCGAGGTTGGCGTCGGGGAGGCCCAGTTTGAGAGCTCCATTGCCAGGCTGACCGCGTCTTGGGCGCCTGTGGCTCAGAGCTACTGAGCTGCACAGAATTCAACTCTGAAGGCGTGGCACTCATCTCTGAAGGCCTGAGGCTTTAGGGGCAGGACTAAAGACATAAATCCACGTCATGAAGAAGACGTGGAGACATTATAAGATCTACAAGGATATGTTTGGCTCCTGTTTGTGGAAAAGCATAGATTATTCATTCCAGGTCCTCTATTTAAAACTATACAAAGTTAAGCTGGAGTCTATGTTGATGTGCAAAGACCGAACTTGACAATCATCTACTTCCATGTTGGACAATAAGCCTTAGAATAGCTGCATGGTCAGAACCCTTTCTTTGCTCTTAGTAATTCCCAACATGCTTATTTCACATTTATAACATGTTCATTAGACCTTTTCACTCTTACTCCTCCACACAACCTGCCCGAAATCAAAATATCACTGACACAATTTCTGTAATTATAAATGTTAAACATATATGATTTTTTTTATTGTTCCGCTAACATAAATGTGTATATGTGTGTATATAGAATAAATTAACGTCCAGTTTTTTCCATGTTAATGTTGGAAGTTTTATATATATAATCATATTCATTCATCGACCAAAGAAAACAATTTAAGTGCAAACACAAAATCTTCAATCTTGAATGAAAAGGAGCAGAAGAACAATCTCATATAATATGCTCCTCTATCATAAGACATTAATTAACAAAGCAAATAATTCAATAAAATCAAAAAATGAAATATCCGCAAGCCAACACAGCCCCTAACATTAACTCCTAAGTTACAACTCATTTGAACTTTTCCTTCCTCTGGTTGCAATACACACGTTCCAAGATTGGACTGAGAGTAACACGTGCCTTCTGTATCCTGGCAGGGTTTTTGTCGACAAAAAGACTCCCCCTGCACAAACACATGTACATAAGCTATGTATTTGTATTTGAACTCACTGTGAGTTTTATTTATGTTGTTTAATAATAAATTAAAGATGTTTGTTTTCTCAAACTGGTTTTGGTCTGGCCTGTTCTGTGGGGATTTGGTGCCTTGTGCAGTGATTTGACCTCCAGTAACGCACAGTTTCTCAGCTCTAAGTGCATCAATCAGCAGAAACAAAGCTTTTAGGACAGAGAGACACAAACATCAACAAAGTCAAGCATAGAACACATTATGTACGAAATTAACTCCTATCACATATAAGGTCAAAGGTCAAACAAGAGTTAATAGTTGAATTAATTCGACTGGAATCTAATATGAGGTATCTGATGTATCTATAAATACAATACGACCCATGAGTTTGGTGGAGTTCTCACTTTGCCCTCGTGCATCCAAACCTCAACCATCCAACTTTTGGCCCTTGCGAAATGAGCTTTCTTTAAATAACAGCGTCCGCACAGCTACTCTAAGTGAATTCGTTGTCTTTGGCGTGTAACTGAAATGACAAGGTGGAGGGGGGAAGTGTCCAGTTTAAGAAATCCCCCGGGGTAGTTTTCCATCACTGGCACCCTTTTGTTACAATCTGCATTATGGTGTGACATACGGCTAACACATTCAGATCTGCATGTGAGGAAAGTCTATAAGGACCTGGATATGTATACTATATAATGAATACTATAATAAATAAAGCGTGTATTAACACTGGTATTTGCCAAAGTCAAGTGGATACAATTCAAACTTAAAGTTTTAACAACCTTTCTGGTCTTTTTAAACAAACCATGTTTTACAATATAGTTTTGATTATAATGATAACAATGTTTATGACAATTCATTCTGTTTTGTATTATATTATATCAATATCATAATATGTATCATCATAAAGCCAAACAGAAATGGTTACATTAGACAAGAGTGTAAATTATATAATAAAGTTTAAGATCATTTTGAAAAATAGACTGATTTTAGTTTCTAATACAATGTGAGTTTATATTAACTGAGCCAAATCCAAGCAGTCACAGCTTTATATTGAACACTTCTGATTTGCTAAGATGTACAAACACAATCTCTAGTGTTTATCTAAACTTACTATATTACACAGATGTAAACTTGTGTCCTTATGTTTCAACACTTCCTTGCTGGTATGCCTGTACTGGATGGCATGCATTCTTAAAAGTCCATGATACACAAAATCTAAGCGCATCAAACCTTTAAAGAAAATATGTTGAAGATAAATACAATTGTCAGTTTTTTGACAAGTCAAGCTCAATTTAAAAAAGGGGGGATAATGGTTAAAAACATCTAAAGTATAAAAGCCTTTAGGTGGATTCAGCTCTATCCCAACTCATATCTGTGGCTTGGCTGTGTGCTCATGATGTCAGTGGTGTGATGTGTGTGTCGGACCCTCAGAGGTTGAAAACCCCCTGAAAAGTGATGGAGTGGTCCTCACCAAGGTGCAAATGAAGGCTGCTGGGTCACAGGGCCACAGGCAAATAGTAATGAAGCAGCAATGTGAACTGCAGCTGGCGGGGCCAAGCAGAGCAAAGGTCCCCTCATGAAACGATGGCATCTCCCAAACCCTCCACTTTACTGCTTCTCCAAATTGAGGAATTCATCTCTGTCTGCTTAAATAAAAGACAGTGGTCGCCTGTGATCAAACTGCAGATACGACATATAAACTGCTGTGATACAGAATCAAAGATTCAGATGATATATAACAGTGACTCAAATGACTGTGTTTATTGTTGGATTGGTAGATGGAAGTCACAAATGAGTTTGCAGCTCCCCTCAGCTCTCCAGAGCAATTAAACACCTTTAAGCTCTTTGTTTTGGATTTACAGCTCAAAAACATTACTGATTTGGTGCAGACTGGCTTTTTCAGTGTTGCATTATTATTTACTCAGTACACTGTATATTTATCTAATTTGAACTGCTTGGATTGTTTAATCTATACTGAGGATCATATTCAAGTAATGACTGCATTAGGGATTTGTAAAGCTGCACTGTTTGATTTTTGCATCTTTTCTGTCCACTGGGGGGCAGAAGAACAAGCAGAAAGTTCAAAGTTGACATATTATCAACTTATTCAGCTGTTATGACAGATGTGTTGGCAAAAAGTTGCTGATTTTGCAGCAGATACAGTGTAACAGTAGTTGCATCTATTTGAAATCATGTTTCAGACAAACATATCTGGCTCATTAGCTGCTAAATGCTCCTCTGTTTACCAGCTAGCTGCTAACATTTTCTTTTGTTTGGGGTTATTGAAAGCAGAGTTGTGGATCAGTAAAAAAACAATGAGCATACAGAAGCTGTAGAAAATGCGATTATGTGATAAATGACTAACAGTGAATGAAAGATTAAAGTCAAGTCTTTTGTTATTCATGCAAACTGGTACATATAGAAAAAACATGACAAAATTCTTGAATGAAAAAAGAAATAAATGGTGTTGTCTTGTTATGAAAATATGACACGTCAAGTCAGCGCTGGTCAGCTGGTGTTAACTAGTCCACAAACCAATAGTATGAAAAACTGTTCTGTACAGAGGTTTTTCTGCCTGGTTTCCAAAGGTCTTTTTTTATTTTGTGTTTTAAAATGGACCAAAGGAAGACTAGCTATACTCTAGGACACAGTTAATGGGGATCCTAATAATTAAACAATTAAACAATATTAGCTATTAATCTTACATGTATACGTACAGCACTACATCAATTTGTCTTGTAGAATATATTTGATATTCATTTATCCTTAATTTTCACTGGACTATCAAAACATGACTTTTAATTTTGATATTAGCCTCTTCGGCTACAGCACAGCCACTGTCATTCTGTGGTACTTTAGCTGTTGTTCATAGGACTGGAGTTTGATGACTTCATTTTGTTCGCTAAATAACAAGAGCTGTTTATGAGCAGTTATCCAGACTTGCTGGGGAGGATGTTTGCTGATGGTCTTTGCTCAGTCTGGAGTGGTAAACAGTTCCCCACTGGGCTCAGGGTCGTCTCTGCCCTCTCGGTTATGGTGTGTGTGTGTTTGTGTGTGTTGATCTGAGGACCCCGAGCTGACTGAAGTCTTTGTCGTCCAAGATGGCTGATCTGCTCTGTACACCCCAGCCTGCAGCCTGTGTTGGCCTTCACTAATTGGCAATTGCAGTTTGACTTTGCACATCGGCCTCCTCTCCACCCCTGGAAGTGTGTGCTCCAAATACGCTTTACAGAGTGTGCCCAGCACCCAGGTGTGGAGGACGGAGGAGGCGCAACAACAGATGCAGATGTTGAGCTGGGACAGTGTTGTCTGATTGTGGTTGAAGTTATTCGTTTTAGTGGTAGCCATTGTTTTGTGTGGCAGAAATAGAGTTTATTAACTTGAAACATCAATCATTGACCGAAAGAAATGAAATATTGAGATGAGGCACCATGAAAGTCTAAATCTGACATATGAAGAAGATGCCAACCTCCTGTCCCATCCCAGTCCTGGTGTCCCTCACGTATCCCTTCTCCACTTCCAGGAAGAAGCCTTATGGGAGAAGGGACGGGATGAAATGACCTCGGAAAACACCACAATTATGATGGTGAGTCACATTGTGCGAGGCCTTGCGGGTGATTTACGATGGGGCAACAGCCAAAAAACAAGTCGTCAAGTCTGGAACAGCGAGTCAGCGCTGTGGCGGGGAGATGTGTTTGCAGACCTTCCCCTCGTCCGCCCCTAAACCCCAACCCCTTCCCTCTGATGTCTGTGTGCCTTCGTTAATGAAGAAATTCTGGTACCTTGGTGAGACATTGCTCTCAGCCGAGCAGACTCTGCCTCCTCTGTGCCCTCGAGCCCCACACAACCGCAGTCCCATCAGGCCTCTGGTCTCACCTCTCCTGCTCGAGCTGACATTTCTACTCTTATACCAACAAAGTTTTTGCTATGATTTTGGATTAGAGGCAGCTCTAGGTTCTATATAGACACAAGAGTTCCTCAACCCTGAGACCAAACCCCAGCCTGTACCCTCTGTGTTAAGGCTGGACTCGACAGAAGCCAGTGGCATTACCAAGTGTGTGAGACGTGACTCCATAACTGACAGTAAACTTCTCACCTGATGCAATACATCAGCAACACTACTGCTTTACTCCACTAATCATTGTGTATTACTAGCAATACATGGCACTCATGAGCCGTTTTCAGATATGAGCTCTGGAGGAACTCCCGGGGAATTGGGTCCGGAGGTTCTCCAGAGGTTTTCTTACACACATAATCAACGCAGCAGGAGGTTCTCAGCTCAGACGTGTTCACAACAACAACAAATCCTCCATAGGATTCATGTGAGGGGAGGTGCAGCAGACAGACGAAGGACGTCACATTTCAATTTCGCTGCAGAGATCACATATTATTGTTTACAGCCCACCAACATATTCGTCTGTGTCTTCTACAGGTTTTTCTTTTTTGTATCGGTTGCGTGTTAGAATTGTCCTCAACCCCCCCACCCCCACATGACTTCAAGTAAATTCTAGTTTAGCTCTACAGTATACACTTATATTCTAACACAGTTCATGTTCACAGTGAGGCAGTTGCAAGTGTTCCAGGTTAACAAGTAGATGCTGTTTAGTTGAAGTGGGCTTATGTTAAAAACCACTGGACACTATTGGCTTAAGTGCAGAACAAGCACTGACCTGATGTTATGTGTTTGTTATTACTGTAACATCTAAGCAACTACTCGACATGTTCTTCTTCTTCTGAGTTCAGTGTATTGGCAGGTGGCAACCAACGTCCTGGTGCATTACCACTATCTGCTATATCTCTTATTACCCTGTGTGATCAAAGAAAATAGAAGAGCACTTCCTCTTCCTCCTCTTAACCTGCCTGCTGCATTGGCGGGTAGCAACCAACGGTGCACCACCGCCATCCGCCTATTTTTCCCTTTATCATCCTACTACTCGACATCCATTACAAGAATCCTATATGTAGGCGCTGTTCTGATATGTGGTGATATAACTCACGGCCTTCAGATCAAAGCTCAAAAACTCTTTGTAAAAGCACCACTGTCTCTAATGGCAGATGTCCCAGCAGTGCTTTTGAACTACATGAGCAATTTCACACATTAGGAGGACTTGCTAGCCAGCATAAGCTAATGTATGTTCCCTCCGGTCACCACAGTGATGGTGACAGCCTGTCACCATCCTGACAGGCCAGTCCAGTTAGCTGTGGACAGACACACGAGCACAGAGGCCTTGTAAGCAAACTGGTCCTCAGTTAAGTAACATTTAGCAGAGGTGCATGATATCCAAGTGTGGCCTGAGTGAGAAACCATGTCGGTCACTCAGTGGTAGTCGTGTGCTGATTATCCTCAGGGTTTCTACGACGTGTCAGCTGCTGCATTCACACCATTTTAAAAGAGGGAATAATGCTATATAAATACCCGACTGATTTTTTTCTGCAGGGACGCTTTCGCATAACGATTTTACTCCCACACACAAACCAAAAGGGAAACCCCACAAATTGTATGGGGCATATTATAGTAGTACTCTATGGGGCCTCGGGAGTACTGCTACATACAATGTTGGTTTAAACGTACATGTTTGAGCCTTTTGTGTGTCCAGAGGTGATGTCAGTTGAGTCAGCATCAGTTGTGACAGTATAAGTAATAATAACACCTGGACTAAGCAGACTGTTGAATCAGATTGCATTCTGGGTAATGTAGGCACCAGTTGTGGTCCCAGCAGTTGTCAGAACCAGCCATTTAACATACTCACATTCAGTAATTACTTCTCTATTGAACAGTTTTTATCGTTCTGCATTCACACGCTGGATTCAAATAGTTAATCCTCCCTCAGGGGAAGATGCTTGAATGTAATCCAGCACAACTGTCTTTCATCTTCATCTCACTGCTTCTCCTCTGCTGCTGCCTCACATTTCAAACATGCAGCAATAGAGTTAAAGAGCTCCACAGTGATTAAGCTGGAAGATCTCTGACATGCACGTGTGAAACGCTTGTGAGTGACTGTGCAATATATTATTAGTTATAACCTGAAGAAATGTGTGTTATATAGCACGTACAACTCCGAGGAATCTTAGTCTTTACAAGTAGCAGCTGCTGCTTTCTTAAAAAGCCTTTAACTCAAACACGCATTTGACAGATATTTGTCTTTGCATTGCAGTGTTTACCTCCACATTTCATCCAAATTCGTATTGTTACCTCCACCAGGGAGGTTATGTTTTCACCCCTGTCCTTGTATGTTGGTTGGTTTGTTTGTTTGTAAATAAGATTACACAAACCCTACTGGATGGATTACCATGTCAGGAAGGAACCCATCAACCTTTGGTGCAGATACGGATCAAGAGAAAACAAGAGGAATGGAAAGCACATAGAAGCACTCAAGAATAGAGGAAGACTACAGCACTGTAGTGGACAGAGGGACACTAGGGGCAGAGTAGAGTTGTATATGTACGTTTTTTGTTGGATGATTTAGTGGAGAATAGTTGTAGGACAAGTCAAGCATGTTGTTTCATCCTTTTTGACGGAAAATGAGTTTTATTTGATCATCTAAAAATGTTCAAACTAAACTTAACTAAACTAATCAGGGGGCAGATCCAGGATATATTTTATCACTTTTTATAACATCGTGAGATAATAACATTGTGTTGCTATCTTTAACGATTTATTGTTTTCATGGATCTTGATAAAAAAAACACATTTAAAGAACGGATATCTACGAATGTTTGAAATCTGGTGAAGTTTGATTGAATCTAAGCGGAGTGATGGGCCTTGGTGCAGATTTGTGCCATACTAAGCAATATAACAGTTTAATCAATGTTCACATCACTGTTACTTATGATGAATCATTTTTATGTAAATATTATGAACATACCAGGTGACTGTTATCTTAGCTACTCGAGGCTTTACAGACTTCACAGACAAAAAAGGTCTCTGCGTCATACGTGTTTGTGCAGATTAATCAGAGTAAATGCTGTTAATCTAGTGAAATACATAGATTAAAGGATAAAATATGAATTCTTAATAATAATAATAATGAGTTACTCCAACACTAGAAGAAATGTCACTCGATAAAGAAATCTGAAGTCAAAATAAAAATGACGCTGTAACCCGTCTCTCAGATCTCGAGCTGCTCATTTAAAACAACCCAATAAATTGTAATTACTTCATCTTCCACCTTCCATCTGATTCATAGGATTAGTGTGGGTCCTGATGATACATTAATTACACAAGGCAACATTTAGCCTTCTTACACTGGAGCAGGAAAACACTGCTCCCTTGTGGTTAAAATAAAATCTTTCCAATCTGTGACTATTTGATGCCCTAAACATTCAACTTGTATCCGAGATATAAATGACCTGCAAATAGTGACACATATGAACTTTCACCAAAAAACATCTGGAGTTCCACTATTACGCAATGAAGCTGCTTGGTTACTTTCAGCATAACCTGTTCTCATTGTAGGCCAGTAGCCTTTGGATGTGATCCAAACATAACACACGTCGGAGTTCAGTGACTGAGTTCAGGGCTGGTGAAATCACTAATCTTGGCCTTGAACTCCTCTAGGTTGTTAACTTTTAAAAAAGCCACAGGCAGTAAAGAAACACAAATCTTTGTATTTAAACTTTACTACTCATTTACTTTCCGTTCAATTCCGTTCGGTCTAGAAACAGATGTTTGACTCTTTACCCTTGAAACCATGTGAAGTGTTAACCCTTGTGCAGTGAACATAAGCACTTCTGTCACAACATTTACATTTTAAATTCATTTATTAAAAAATCCAGACATTTTTAAATATTCTGACGACATGCAAAGGGAGGACATGGACATAATGTCATCAAACCTGTTCTCATAACAAACCAAAACAGACAGAAACCTGTGCAGTTAAGACCGTAAATTAACAGAAACCATGTCCAGTATTAAGAGGAAGCACGATGGGCAGGTTGGTTGGTGCCCGACATCGGCTTTGACATGTTTCACGTGATATCCTCGAGAATCGTTATGTGGATTCTACTGACGACAGCGATCTCAGCTGAATTTGGCTTTAGAGAAATCCATCTCTGGGTGCTGAGACATGAACCTGCAGAGACAAAAGGAACCCGGTCACATGTTACCACAGTCTTTTTTTATTTTTAGCTTCTTTATACAAAATAACTGCATCATCATCATCATCATCATCATCATCATCATGGGCCACATCTTAAAAGGAATTGTGATCTTGTTCAGGGAAGATTTTTTGGTTAATGCATCATTTTCTCTGCACAGGTCTTAAATCCCAAACATTCAAACTTTTCTCTTGCACTAAGATTTTTTTCCCTTTAGCTACAGCACCTCCCACTGGCCATTCAGTGGTATTTTTTTCAAACAGTGAAACCATGAAGCTTTGAGATGACATGATCAGTCACCACATTTGATTGGATAGACACCATGTGAACTTTGTGTCAATAAAGAAACCCACACCTTACCAGTCCCCACATTTGTATTGTTTAACTCTTATAAAACGTTACCGGACCTTTACGAGCAGCTTTAACAAGAGGAAGTAAACTTCAAAATAAAAGCGCACATTCTTGCATCAGGGTTGCATCACTTATAATAAATCGATCTCCCTCCATATGCAAACTAAAACAGTGCGCTGGTGTTGCTGGGATATACTATCTTTGGTCAAATGGTTATTTACCCTTGAAATAAACAATGGTCTTAGTTTATTTTACCGTGTAAAAGCAGCTTAGAGAGACTTTAAAATTGTAATATAAGGAAATCCAGGCCATGCTGTCTTTGTTTTTGTGTTTCTATGGTGACAATGGTTCAAGATTCAAGAGTCTTCATAAGTATTTTTTCACAAAATCAGACATGCCAACACAAATTATTAAAAAATATGTAAAATATTTTTATCAGGGATTGCATTCCTATAACTATACCTCCTAAACGTGCACTGGAGATCCCTTAAAGGAAGGGCAATCTTACCACTCTACTCAACTAAGTTCCCCTGGATTAGGTTTCACTTCTGTTAAAAGACAATGCTGACTGGTGCAATGAGACCGACGCAGTAAAGTGTGAAACGTCATATCAATACAATAGAATCAGTTGTGTCTTCTTAAACCAGGTCACTGTCTGCACCAAACCATCTTTATTACCTCCAGTTAAAGTGAGCTTGGCCTTGAGGTAACTGAGGGTAAAAACTACAGACGTCTTTCAGGTTCAACGTTCATATAAAATCTGGCTGCATCATAAAGCTTCTATTAAAATGTCAGCTGACAAAGGACAAAAAGATCTTTACAGTTTGATGACTTAACACAACCTGAGCTAAACTGAACTGGTATATTTATTTGACAGTGATGTAACACTGGACACTTACTTTTTAAGAATGTCTTGTTTCTTCTGTTCTTCAGATGTAGGCAGCCCCATTGATTTCTGCCTTTGGTCGTACATCATCTTCTCCACCATACCACGTGTCTCTCCGTCCAGGTCTGACAGCTGCTCAGCGGGAAATTCACACAGGGTGGGGGTAGTGTAGCAAAATGAAGGAAAGGCTGTCAGTTATCTTTTTGTTTCTTTTAACAACACAGCTCCTCCAAAAAGATCCAGCTCGGCTCACTTTACCTTGGAGTTCTCTGGACAGACCTTCTTGGTGTTGATTTCTGGATCTGTGGTAACAATCTTGTTCCACCACTCCATTTTATTAATCTGACATTAAAAGAAAGTGTCAAATGAATAAAAAGGACATATGCACACATCATTAAGCTCATCACTTTAGCTGTATTTTCAGTCATGAACTCTGGGGAATGTCCAGAAAATTGGGACTGGACATTTCCCATGAAATGTCTTTCCCACATGAACAATGCAGCAGGAGATATTCCAGGTCAAACACGGTCAAGACAACAGGGAGGTTGTGCCTGTGTAGAGCATGCAGGAGGCAGGACATGACATTTCAATTCCATCGCATGTTTGCTCCCAGCACATTGACTCCTTCATCAGCCATTGTCACCCAAAAAAAAAAAAATCACGGTATACTTTTTTGTCAACACACCCACTTGCTTCTTGTGGATTTTCCCAACACTGTCCTGCCGTATTCTCGTGGCCTCAAATTGACGTTCTTCAAACATTTTACTACTAAACACACATTAAAAGGCTGGAACCAATCGACAGACTCTTTCCATACCTTTTCCAGGTGCACAGTGGCCACCTTGCCGTCGTCGAGGAGCCAAGAGCTTTCTTCCACCTTCACCTCGTTGTAGAGCTGTCCATCAATAATGGGAGGATGTCCTTTCAGGCCGACTTTGATGGAGCGCCGCTGGATGTCCACCACCACGTCTCTCCCCTTGACGCGGAACTTCACGTCGAAAGGCACTACCAGCTGTCGGAGGAGGATCAAAATAGTAAAACACTTTAGCTGAGGTTCACACTACAAGTCTTGGTGCTCTATTCGTATCGTTTATGTAGCTGTTCACATTATTTTTCAAAATGTGGCCAATATCAGACTCCAATGTGATGTGGTCATGGTCCTGATGAGGCAGTGTACCGAAGTAAACAAGGGGTGTGGGTCATAAACATGGAGGCCACAGATGTGCGTTTACAGTTTCATTTTGAAGTGTATGTGCAGCGAAAGCAAGCAGATGTGGAAGCAGATGAGTAGGAGAGTGAAAAAGAGAATTATGGCTATTTGAGGAGCAATGGCTGCTACTGCTGTAAAGAGATGTGGAGTCGGAGCCAGTGGTGGGATAGTGAAGTGAACGGCTTCAATAAAACAGATATCACCCACAATGTCAAGATCTACTTTCTGTCAGCGCCCCTCCACAAGACCCACCCGCCCATTCAACTGCACATAATTATGAGGAATGTCTAGATTGACACAAAAGTTGCACTGAATTCCGATACAGGTCACATGGCTGTGTTAAAAAAACAAAAACAACTGTTTTTTTGCAACCAACCACCAGACGCTTCCTGTTTACTGTTGGTGTTGATGGGGATTAAAACTGATACAGAACCAAAACACTGCTGTGGACAGAGATTGTTCTAGTTTGAAAGCGTAGAAGGATGGAAGCAGCCTCGTTTAAAAGTCTGTGCTACAGAAGGAATACACAGAAATAAGTCTGAGCATTATCCTGAGGTTAAAATGAACTCACATCCACTTCAGACAGGGTCTGTGTCCACTTATAAGTGGGCAGATCAGCTCCGTTCCCTGCATTCGGCTTCATTTTGTCTTTGTCCTTCTCGTCTTCCTCTCCCTCAGAGTCAGACTGTGGACATGGACATTAACAAGTCAGTCACCAGAACCACATCAGACATGGACATTTCACAGTGGAACCGTCCTGCTGCTCCCTCACCCCTTTCTCTTTTTTTTCGTCGTCAGGTGACTTTTCTGCCTTAGTTGTTGTGTTCTCCATTTTCGCTTCTTCTTTCTTTTTCTAAAATACATAAAACACAAATGAAGATGTGAACACATGAATCAGAACATCCGCAGCTATTCAGGTGATGGAGCATCAAAGCAGCCAGATTTCACCATATCAAGTTCAGACTGAAGTTTCTCTGCTTCTTCCTCAGTCAGTTCCTGAATTCTGGGACCGTCGTCATTCTTCTTTTTCTTCTCTTCCTCTGCCAGCTTGGCAGCTCTTTCAGCTTTCTCTCTCTTCTCCTTCTCCTGCTTCTTCTGCTTCTCTTTGTTGGACTTCAGCGCCAGCTTACTGTGGTGGGCAAAAGCATCCTTCACTAACTGAAAAACAAAAAAATAAATGATGAGACACGGGGGGTTAAGTGAAGATGTGCCAGGATTGCTACATGGTGCATTGACAGCCCGGTGTTGAATGTCACAGAAGCTACATTGACAGTAACATTACTCACTTTCTCTGCAGCACCTGAATCACCACCCGTGAAGAAATCGGTTTTGCGGCGGAGGAAGCTGAAAAATGTGTTTACCAACTGTTGAGAGAAACAGAGACCATCACACATAATCAGACAAAGAATGAAGGAATACAATGTGCTACATTATCTCCCTTTGTCTGATGACTCTGAGCCATCCAATAAATGAGTTTGTCTTCTATTATTAGCAAATCAAAGTGTGTTCACAGGGGAAACGGTGGATCTTCTAGAAGTTTCAGTCATCTGGCATCACTGTGACAAGATCTAGTTACTCAGAGCTTTTTAAGAAAGGCTCAGAAAAAGGGAAATCATCCAACATTTTATTTCAGGGAAACAAATTGAGTTGAACCACAAATATGATGTTGGATATTTGAATGTCATGCTGCTTTAGTGTGTCACGTGGAAGCTGAATTCCCCACAACACCTCCCCGGTGACCGGCAGTGAGGTTACAATCTGCTCAGCAGGATGTTTCCTCACTTAGACTCCGACTTTAGCTAAAACCCGCACGATTACTGACAACATTTGCTTTGTCGCTGCTTCACTGCTAGCAGCCGATGTGTGCCTGCTAGCATAGCCGCTAGCTGCATTAGCTCCAGCAGCGGTGTGGAGGCTGTGTGGCGTTAGCCGCGGAGTGAGTTACCTCGTGTACACCTCCCTCGTGTTGCTGCGCCATAACCAGCAACATGCCGTCATACTTCTCTTCGTCGTCCCCCATGATGGTGGAATCAGAACGGGTTGAGGTAAAACACTAGCTGCGGGGATGACGGGCAGAGTTAGCGACAGTGTGAGGGCCAATGGTCACGCTCCTTACTTCCTGGAAACAGACTCCGCCTACGCACCAATGGGAGGAAAATATCTTGATTGACAGCTGTACAGACCAGTAAGAATGAGAACCTTCTAGAGAAAAACTTTAACATTCTGATTTTACTGTCAAATATTTTTTTAAAGAATTCTGTGTTAACCTGAGTATTATTATTCATTTTAGAGTTAATCGTTTGGAAATAATAAATTATAGCAATAACAGTTAAAAGTTCTAACAATAAGAAAGTGCATATGTTAGTATTAATGATTTGCACACATACAAGGTTACAAGTTAGAAATGAAAAAATTGGAGAGTGGGAGCCCTGACAGAAAAGGCAGAGGTCCTCAGCCAGGACTGTGTAATGGCGAGTCAGGTCTTCGCTGAGGACCTCAGTTTACGACTGGGCACAGAAGCTGTCAAAAGATCTGATATGTACTTAGATGCAAGTCCCAAAAATTATTAAAAGTCATCAACAATATTTTAAAATACATCCTAAAATTTACCAGAAGCCGGTGAAGAGAAGCTAAAATATGAGGAATGTGAATTTCAGCACAGTGTCCCTACTTGCCATTAGCCAAATGTTCCATGGCTGTGACACACTGATGTCTTTTTGAACTTAATGGGACAAACTGAGGTCAGATTTTTTAGCATTATGGAATCAATTCACAGCAAGTTGGAAAACACACATAACAGCAATTTGTGGTTAATTTGTACCATTAGAATTTGCACAAATGTTGACAGTTTGGAAGCAATGATATCCCAGTTTACATTGGGTCATGTTTGCGAATAAGCAAGCTACCGACCCCTTTATGGTGTTCCTCGTAAAACAAATGTTCTGCAATATGAAAAGATTTTTCATTGATGATTAATTTGTGACACTTCAGGTCACTAATATTTTTAGAAAGTGATCTGCTCTGCCTGGCTCAGATAACATATCAACTTCATTCACCTTAATTAAACTGGGTATATACAGCATACGTATCTAAGACTTCTAAAACAAATCCATTCTTATATCTTAAGTAGGTCCAACATGCTGATGCCCACAAAATAGAAATAAATATTGTTATGATCATCACACTGTGTGTTAGAACAAATCATGCAGGTCTGAGGTGTAACTGGGGCACAGGTCAGGTGGCTGCCTGTGTGTTGACCCTGTCAGTCCTTGATAGACTGGTACAGGCAGAGTTGATGACTCAGGTAAACACGATAAATGTCATTCACCTCAGCCAGCTTCAGCATTTTCTCTCCGTGCAGCAGCTGAGTTCTTATCGGCTCCACGTGGTAGCAACTGACATCAGTCTTCATGGGAAGTCCAGGGTCACAGTTTTTTTCCCCTCAGTGCAGAGCCTCATAAAGGTGAGTCAAGGCTGAGTTTGTCTTGTGCAGGTGACATCCTGGATACATAGGGGACTGAGGTTAAACACTAAGTGAGGCTGTTCATGCTCTCTGGAGGTTTTCTTTGCACATTTTCTTTCCTACTTCACCATGTTTTCTGTTGAAGAGAACATTGCAAACCACACTTGCTCTGGTTACCAGGATCAGCATCCCCACACTATCCTTTACAACATCTTGAGCTGGAGGGACAGCGACCACCTCAACAACGAAGCAAACTTCCCATCACACACCTGCCACTGCAAGCAGAGGAAAGTTTGCCTGAAGGACCCGAGGGGCACCTGTCAAGTTGCCTCCAGTGTGCTGCTCAAGACCGTCTGCTTCATGAGGAGTTTACCATCCTTCAGTCAGCTTCCACTGGGAGATCAGTCATCACTGCTAGCACACTGCTGGGTTCCGTTATTTGTTCTGGGGCTCGCACAGGAAAGGATAATGTTTGAAGTGACTCATGTACCAAATCCGAGTATCTTGAGACAGATTTTGCTCAAGCCGGGGCTTTCTGAAAAGGAGGCTGACAAAGCAACTCTTGCCGGAGTCCACAGACTGAGAGCTTGCTTGTATCAGCTGTGGGATCTGGATCTCAGTCCTCAGGAGTATGCTTACCTGAGGGGTGCTACGTTGTTTAACCCAGGTAAATACTCTTTCCATTTAATAATAATAACACATTATAACAACAAAACAGTAAAAGGTTCTAACAATAAACAATAGTGCATATGTTAATATTAATGTTTTGCATATAAGAGATATTACGTTTTTGTTTTGATGAAACAAGCCCCTTTTAATCATTAGAAAATGTTTGTATCTATATTATTGCACGTGAATGATTGAACCCTTCTCTGTGGATGACAGTGTGTCATAGATTTGATATAATAATTTTTTATTTTTATAATTTAATTAAATTGAAGGGGACAATTGTGTGGAATACATTCTATTATTAATCCATCGAAACATCTATAATTGAAAATATTTTCAATTTTAAACCCACTAGCAGTTTCAACTGCTGGATGTATTTTGTCCCATGTCTCAAGAATCAGTGATACTATTATATCAGCATATATTTTTAATTTAAATTAATAATCAATTAAATTGATCCTCTTTGTGTCAGAGAAACCAGCATAGGTGGTCACATTAAATACAAATAAATATATGATGCCGTTGTGTTTCAGTAGCTATGATGTTCAGTTTGTTGGATATAAGCAGAAACATCTCTTCTCCCACTATAGCTGTTCAAGGCTTGAACGCCATGTTGCTCATCGAGGGCCTCCAACAGGAGGCACAGAGGGCTCTCCAGGAAGTCATCCACCTGCTGCACCCGGAGGACGCCAATCGCTTCAGAAACGTCCTTCGAGCAGCCTCCGCCACCCAGAACGTCAGCCACAGCTTGATCACAGAGCTTTTCTTCAAGCCAATTATTGGCAACACAAACATGTTGCATTTATTAACAGACATGCTGTTTGTCCATTGAGATTCCAGAGACAATGTTGTTTGATTGTTTTCCATTCGGCACGTAATGGTTTATTCACTGCAAATTGTATTGATCTTTTTGATATATTGTTTTGTTGTTGTTCGGTTTTTATCTCTGCCTTGTAAGGTGATCTCGACTGCTGTGAAAGCCTATAAATAAAATGTATTATTATCAATTTGAGTAAAAAGTGCATGAAATAAACATTTCAATACCTTTTTAATGGTGCCGTGCCCACCGCTCCAGTATATGTGTGTACATGGTATCTGTCTGTGTGTTTCTATGCATGTGCGTGTTTGGACGGTTGCCAGCTGGATGGGTTAAATGTGGAGAACAATTTCATGTGTATGCATGACAACAAAAGTAAATCTTCTTCCTCTTCTTCTGTGAAAGCTTGGAAACTTGCAGAGAAATGTGCTTATGACCTTAAATAAAACTGCATACTTTGACTCCCTCATGTGGTCATGTGGCAAACAACAAGCAAATGCCTCCTTTTGTAGTTCCACTTAATTTTTCTTTATTGTTTAACAATGAGACATCAGTTAAAAGATGGTATATTGTCACTGCCAACACATCTTTGCTGAAAATATACATTTCCTTTTGGCGAAGATCCAAGTGTTTACAGGTCAAACTCAGGAATAATGTATGAACTGAAGATGCAGAAATTTCCGGTGGAATAAAAAGCATGTTACAGTTAACAAGCCTAATTAGTCAAGATTCCCTTTTTGCATCATGACACAAACCAGAACAACCAGTTTTACACATTCAATCAAACAAACGATGATGTTGCAGCCAAATCATGACACTGGCTTATTTCATGCATCTTAACCATGTTACCTCAAGACAAACAATAGCTAATAGTTAAATATTCCTAACACTAAAATTTCAATCTGCTAATGATCTGGAAAGTTATGTTTAGAATAAGTGTACAAGCTACCCATTGTGTATTAACTGAAGCTGTGACTGTAAGGTCCATGCCCAAAAGTAACCATGAACCGATGCTGATAAGACGGCCGCAGAGCTGAAGAAAATCCCCTTGAGTCACCTGGACAAATTCCCACCAGGATCCAGGAGCAAACACAGCAAAGCATATTGGTAAGAGAAGCAGGCTTTCACCTCATGAGACAGCCTGATACAGTAAGTTATAGTCCTTGATACAACCTGAAGAACAGCTGCAGCTCACACCAGCTTTCATTTTGGGAGCCAAATATAGACAAAGCCAAAAACAGTACACTGTACATTAACATTCCTCTGCTTCATATGAACTTCATATTACATCATGACACTATGCACTACACTAAACACACAACATAAAAGGCACAATGGAAATAACAAAACAAAAAGAAAGCTTACATGCGTCTTCCGGTTGTCTTTGGCAAAAACACAAAACAACAAAAAAATGAAATTTTATGAAATATGTTGTCAAGTGGCACAAAGACAAGAAACCACGGGGTAGAGCTAGATTCGTCCAAAGGTAAGAATGCCTACCAGCACTTTTAACGGGACAGTATGGAACATTTACAAACATAAACTTTTTGTCATATATGCTAAAACTGTCACTATGATCTGACTGTAAAGCATGAAGCAGGTAATATCTGAACTAAATCTGGCTCCTCTGGCTTAACATAGAGATATACTACAATTTGGAAGAATCCTACAATCCTGTAACTAAATCACCAATCAGAGCGACGAGGAGTGTCTGACTGAGTTTCAACCACAATACGACTGGTTAGCATCATTCTACTTAGAAGTTGTTAAGTGCCTGGGCAGTCTGTGGTTTGGTGTTTATGTAACTGCTTGCAGAATTGGTTTATTGTGTAGTATGAGCTAGCTACATGTCAGTTTTACATGCAGTTAGTCCAGCCAGCAGCAGATGCCATGTCAAGACGCATAACCTGCGGTGGGTAAAGTCCAGAGAATTGGGTCAGGGCTTTACTCGGACTTTGACTGTCAAACATGAATAACTCAGCAAGAGGTTCTCTGCACAGACACATTCTCTGCATTTCTCAGGTGAGAGGTGGAGCAGCCGGGTGCAGCAGACAGAGGCAGGATGATAAAGTATTAATTCCAGTGCTGTTTGTTTACAGCACCCCAACACCAGCTCTCATCACAGCAAACTCTCTTGACACATTGACGTCTGTGTTCTTTGTTTCTACGTGTGTGATGCCGCTTTTATAAAACCTTCCACGACAGCTTTAAGCCCACTAAAAACATTTCATAACATTGTTTGCAAAAATTGAACTGTAAAATGTTGTGATAAAGAAATGATCCAATAAAAAACCTGCAGGCAAACAACTTCACACTTTTTTGAGTTAATGAAGAAACAAAATATTGCCTGTTAAAGGTTCAGTGTGTAAGATTTAGGTGAAAGGGATTTTTGGCAGAAATCAAATATAAAATAATCCTTGTGATGTTTTCACTAATGTGTAATCATCTAAATTGTTGTTTTCTTTACCAGAGAATGGAGCCTTCATATTTAAAACCTTTATATTTACATGGAGGGGGGGGTCCTCTCTGTGGAGGCCACCATTTTTTTCACCGTCGTCCAAACTGAAGGCTAACACAGGTTCTCTTTCATGTTGGGAGGGTGAGATGAGGAGTATCCAGCTGCAACATGCAACTTCACCTCTAGATGTCACTAAATTCTACACACTGGACCTTTAATTGGTTTAGCAAGGCCAATTGTGTTACCTTTGGATAGATCCAAGCTAATTAGATGATTTCCATCTCTTTTCAGTCTAAAGCTAATTGGCTGCCATTGCCTGTTACTTTCAGCATAAAGGCATTAGAGCACTTCTAATCTTCTCATTTAAATCTCTGCAAAAAAGCAAATGAGTGTATTTTTTGCACACTGTTGAACCATTCTTTGGACATGTTTGTTTTTGATTCACAATTTACGATGTACATTCTTATTTCTAGTGTACTACCAGGCACACATTAAAAACTCTTTTGGCCCATCATATAAAACTGTCTTTTTCTTCAAGCCAAATACACCCACTTCATTTTTTCGCTTTGACTTCTTGAGACCTTTACTGGTCACGTCAAACTGAAAATTGCTATCATTAATCTAGAATTACTAACTGTAAATAAGTTTTAAAAAACCACTCGAGAGTACATCTTAAAATCACACACAACTGTGCACACTCAAATCTACAATGATGTGAAAACCAAAAAAATCACAACTCTTCAATTCACTCTTATAGAACTAAACTTAAATGTTCATTGCATAACAACAGAATAATCTAACCAGCAAATTAGAGTCCGACTTCAGGAACACAACTCCTTCAAGGATGACGGGACGGTAAATTGTGATATTTAATGTTTAAGAGCTGCTGGTGATCTCTGTCAAGCAATCCTTCAAATATACACATAGCATTCATCAGCCATAAATATCTACACACAGAGCCCTGAGTTCACTGAAGTCCTTCAAGACAATGTGAATTTTCACATTTTGTTTTTCCGCTGAAAAAAACATGGTCTCTACAAAGAGCTTGGCTCAGCCAGTGACTCCTGTGCAATGTCTCATATGTGACCTTGAGGACAAAGCAGGACAAATTATTCAAGCATAGACCAGCAGCGTGGAGCAGGAATCATGTTCTCACAGAGGAGCGAATCATTGAGACACCGGAGGAGTTAGTCTCTGTGTGAGAGGGCGAGTAGGCTGAGCTAGATGTGTGACCTATAAGGACAAAAACAAGGATAGGAAAGAAACGAGGATTAGTCTTGATACAGGGGACTGAGCAATGTGCATTGAGTCCTCTAACTGTCATCCCCATTCACAGTGCACTGCAACTATAAATCATTTCACAATCTGGGATGCTACAGAAGAAAGAGGTGGAACACTAAAATTTCCACCTTATGGTTGTATGCCTCAAGTGCAATTTCAGTCTACATACATTTTTTCCAGACTTAAAATTGACTGAAATATGAGGTCATTGTGACCTTTTCTGAAATCTAATTAGTTAATTTGTCCAAGTCACAACTCTTGACTTTAGATATTATGTTCAAAAAGGCAAAACAAATGATTGTGACTTTGACCTCTGACCACCCAAATGGAACCAGTTAATCTTTGAGTCAAAGTTAATCTTTTTTAAAATTTGGAGGCAAAATGGGATTCAAACACAGCCCAGCAATCTGTTCCTACATGATTACATGAGGTTTGAAGACTGTGAGGATGGCACGGAGGACGTGGACTCTCTTATTACCAAAAAGCTGCTGGAGCTCTACTCTGAATATCAAATCGAAGAGTTGGCGAGGTGCACCCCGGACTCTGTGTTTCTTCATCATACTGACTTTGACCTTCGACCCTCAAACTCTAATCAGGTAGTCCTTGAGCTCATGTGAATGATTCTGCCACTTGTAATAAAATTCCCTTCTGGTGTATATCACATTTACAAGAACATGAGGACACTATGACCAAATTTCAGTCAGTTCAACTGTTCTAAATCTGAGTGTTTCGTTTATAAGACCAAAAGTGTTTTGTGACATCTGTTGGTCACAGTGACCAACAAATTCCAATCAGTTCATCCCTCAGTCCAAATGGACGTTTGCATCAAATTTGAAGAAATTCTCTTTTTCCTCCAGAAAAATTTGTTATTTTTCTTTTTTTTTCATTTTTGCGTCTGTTGCGTGTTAGAATCAGCAACACAACAACCCGTGGAGGATTTCCCGCCATGTTCTCATATTGGCTCCCTTGCATTTTCACTGATAAAAACTATTTACATTGGAGTTCAGCCTGGTGCAGCACTCCCAACACTGCAGGTTCAGGGTAAATTTTAACAGCACCCGTATGTCCATTGGCTGGGATGTTATTCCACATATGAATATTTGTCAGTTGACCCACAAAGCTCTAGTTAGGGTTGTTTCCTGAAGATATAGATGACCCACTAAATGTTTACACATCATACAACAGTTTACATGGAAATAGATCAAGAGCTGAAATCATCTTCCTGGTGTCTGTCAATAAAGCTACCTCGTACAGACTCACTGTTCTTACCAGATTAAAGAAGTACATAAAAACAACATTGTCAAATCAATGGTACTGCACCATACAGACTTATTGGTCTATGCAAACATGCCCGATGTATTTTCGGATTAAATGTAAATTAATATTTCTATTTTCACTTATTTTGTTCATCATACTTGTCAACCACCTGCACAGAGGTATCTAGACTGATTTTTTGAATGAATAAAAATGTAATTTGATTACTTTTCATGAATGCTGATATCCCAGAAGACATATCGCTCATTTCTGTAATATTATGAAGCTTATCTTGCTCTCAAGTTCTCTGTCAGTATTATGAAAAAAAATGCATGTCTACATGCCAGACAGATTTTTAATCTTCTTGGGTTTGTTTGTTGTGGCATGACAGACAAAGAATCACAATTTAGACCTTGGTTTGAAGTCACAGCGAACAATTAAACTGATAATTACATATGAAAAGTTCAAATCTAGATTTAAAAAAATATCCCATCTAGAGGATGGACTCTGAAGCATGACCTCATTAGTTCTGAAAATCCTTACAACAGCCCTGCACCTAAAACTAACTCAAATCATTTAATTCAAAAACAGACATTGATTTGAGTGCAACATCTTAGGAAAGAAAACCAAAACCTTGTCTTGTTTAAAATTCAGCCTCTGAAGTTGATGTTAAAAGAACTTATCATCAGGAGGTCATACCAGAGTTAGTGTGATAAAAACTAACCCGGATATTTCCTGCTCATGAAGGACTATGTGGATATTATGGAATTCCCCTCTTACAAAAGCCAAATAAATCTTGGTATACAATATAAAACAACATACATACTGTTCAAAGTCACTGACCAACTACTGACACATTACAGTTCTCCATGATTTAAAACAAGACGTATAGAGAGATGATTGTAATAATGAGAATGTAAGAACATAATAAAGACTGATTTCTTACCTCCATTGTTTCTACACATGTCCCTGGCACACTTGTCAGAGGAGGTCAGTTCTGATATTTGGATGTTTGGATTTGATTTGTAGTCATCTGGAGGAAAACGTGATGGATACTTAATGGTGGAAAAGCATTTTTACAGAGGCAACACTGATGTTTCTGGGGTTGAGGTGAAAAAGCTGTCACAGTGACTGGATATAATATTTCTCCTGGTATTTTTTTAAGTTTGAACTGTAGTGGGTCAGAGGATGTCAGCAGAGTAGGGCGAACGTCATATGTGGCCCATGGGTCGTGATTATAGATATGATTATGTATGTTCAGCTTGTCAGGATACATATTGGAAAATAAAATTGCAAAAAAAAAAACCAAGGCACTGTCTTTGTAACTGTTGCCTTTATTGTCATATTGACAGCACAAAGAGAGTGCTTTGGAGTCTTTCTGTAATTATATTTACATTTTTAAGTGTCTGCTTCAGCACTTCATTATTGATCCAGTGACTACAAAGTGCTGACTCATTCATTGGCACATTGTTTGTGGTGAGAAGACAAACAGTTTTGCTTCATTAATTCTCAATTCATGAGCATCAAACGTTAGGACAAATAAGGAGCTGCTGCACACGTACTAACTGATAACCTGCGCTACAGTACATGCATGAGTGTATTTGTTGTGCGACAGGGTCACCTTACTGTTATTAAAGCCTTAATCAACTACACGCAGCGTAGAAAGTCCAAGTCGTAGTGGTTAGGTTTAGTATATTAATACACAGTGTGAAAGTTTAACAGAGGAACTGGCTTACTGTTGTTGCTGAATGTCAAGGAATCGCTCTCCCTCATTGTCTCATTCCCGCTGTCAGACAGCGTCCTCTCCATCCTGGACGGGGTCGGCCTCTTCTTCGCACTCCTCCGGGTGCTGATGCGGATGATGCCACGCACCAACCGACACTCCGCTTCCTGCTCGCCCATTTTGTGCTCCTCCGCCAGCGAATTGATGAGCTGATTGATGTCCTTGCTCTTCCTCAGAAACACAGAGTCTGAGGTGCACCTCGCTAACTCATCGATTTGATATTCAGAGTAGAGCTCCAGCAGCTTTTTGGTAATAAGAGAGTCCACGTCCTCAGTGCCATCCTCCCAGTCTTCAAACCTCATGGACTGATGTAGGGACGGATTGCTGGGCTGTGTTTGAACACCAGCCGGACGCAAATATGATGATTTGGGTTCCATCTCTAAATACTCCCTTGGACTGTCCACTTTGACTCCAGCAATGCGGACATCCCCTAGCCAGTCTGTGTGATCTTCCTCTTTGTTGTCTCCTGGGTTCACACTTCGGAGGCTCACCTTCTCTGGCTCATCTGGAGAGCTCTCGTTTGGCACAAGGCATGGAGCAAGAGTGGAACTCTGGCAGACCCTGTACAGGCCACAGGTCAGCACACTGCATATAAACGTCCTGCAGCTCCCTGGAGAGGTGCAAGGGTTGCAGGTTTGTGCTGAAGAGGAATGATCGACAGAGCCAGGAATGAAGCCAATGGTCTCGGACTCCTTCCCATCTGCGTCCTTCAGGTGAGCACTGTGGATCGTCTTGGGCTCTGGGCTCGGTGGCCTCTCTTCCACCGGGTCCACACAGCGCTCCTCGTATGATGACCTCTGGCTGCTGCTCTGGCTCGCTCTGTGCCTGTAGCTACCACGCCCTGAGCTGTGCCTCAGACTGTCAGTGCTCTCAGCAGACATGGCTTACTGGCTCCAAGGTCTGCACATGCAAAAAAAACACTGTTCAACTGAAATGACACAAGACAGTCAGTGTTGAAATGGCATCCCTAAACAACTTCTTGAGTTCCTATCAGCCACAACTTGAAATCACTTCCAGCCACCTGAGGGCATCTCTCTTCAAAACTGATGTGAAACAACTATCCCCAGGTGGCAGGTAAACCAACCCAACTGGTTTTATGGAGGATGTGTACGCAACAAAAGTCTCAGATCAAATATACTGCGTTGTGTTATGTGGGTTTCTTAAATTGAACAAAGGTGTTTCAAAGTATAAAAGAGTTATATGGACTTACAACCATCTCCTGTGTTTACACTGCGCTGTAAAAACGAATCACACCAAACTTCATTGAAAAAAAAATCTTAGAATTGAATGTCCCTTTGCTCATGTGGGAAAAATTAGGTTTTATTATCAAGGAAAAGATAAAATAACAGAACTTAATCTGATTCTGTTAGCAATTAGCTAATGCAGACCTCTTTAGAGTAATACACGAATAATAGGTATCCACCAACACAGCAAACCAGAGCAGAAGTTATTGTTAACAAACGACAACATACATCTCACTGAATTTTAAATGGTCTTGTGTTGCTCTTTGACCGAGTCAGAAGAAGGCGACGGCAGGTTCGCCGCTCGTGTTTGTTTTCACTTTCATGGCGACCTGTCACTGCGGCTCTTTCCTCCATTTGAGGACGTGCGACTTTCAGAGTAAACACTGACTTACGGCAGACTCGTTCACAGACTCTCTCCCTGGTCAATGTCGTCTTCTCCGTCCTCTACATTAAAGATGTCTGATTTGAATCCATCCTCCTCGTCCCTAACACCAGCTCCGCTCCACGAAACCTGCAGCTTCCTCAAACTTTTCCAACAAATCCGTGTACCTGAGCGTCAAGGTGGAGCAAGCGCCCCAGGTAGCGACAACAAATACACGTTCCGGTTAGGACTTTACAAATAAAACGCACGTTAAATCAGCACTTTTGCTTAGGATTGTGTATTGTACGGATTTTATGCTTGATTGTGGATTTATTCAAATCACAAAAGAATTATCACGCGATTGAAAACATCTTCTTGACACCGCTTCTCCAGTTTACACCACCAAAACGAGAAACATCATGCTAATAATTTTATTTTGAAATCATTTCCGGCGGCATTGTTCCTGCCTGCTGGCCTGCGTCAAGTTAGCGTCAATGAGGCGTCGATTTACCGGATATTGTACAATTTGAAAATAATCCATCTTCATTTCCCTGTATCTATGAATTGAATTTAACGGGACAAACAAGTATTGATTAAATGGCGCAATTATTCAGAATGCGCATATTTTGCGAGGGCCACCACCACACTTGAAATATAACGCTTTAAAGTGCCATTAATTTTGAAAGAAAATCAACCGGAAGTGCATCTTTTCTCTGTGTTAAGTTTGACAAAAGCTAATTTGTATTTTATGACTAAAACTCAGTCGTTAATGTGTCGCGATCCAGATGTTTTATACAGTGTCAGGTTTAATGGATGCTTTTTAATTCATGCACACTGCACAGGGTGAACATCTGGGAAGACGTTTGGCCGCAATGTACAAGACGGACATGACGGTATGTTGTGTTTACTGATGTTCGAGTCCGCAGCTGGATGGTGTGGAAGAAGACACAGATGCTGAGCTAACGATGGACACCAGTGTGCTGGTTGTATTTCCAAGGACGGACTTTAAAATAAGTGCACAAGGAGACATGGGGAGTGAGGGGCTTGTCGTTTCGAGCAGCGGGGTCTTTGGGTCATTCTCGCCGGAGACCCGTAGTTAAGCATTAGCTTGTTTTCTCCGTGGAATGACGACGCCTGCTCCTCTCAGCCTCCTCCAGGCACACGGCTGCGGGTGATGCTACCTGTCCCCGGCCACACGTTCCCGATCGTCCGCAGCAAACTTTCACTGTGAACCATGAAGAACTGCGAGTACCAGCAAATCGACCCGCGGGCACTTCCGACACCCACACCGACCCCTCCTCATCACCAGCAGGGGAGCGTCGGCAGAGAGGAGCCGCGGAGACCCAGGAGGAAGTGGGAAGTTTTCCCCGGGAAGAACCGCTTCTACTGCGAGGGACGGATCGTCGCGGCCCGGCAGAGTGGGGTCCTGCCCCTCACCCTGGGCCTCATCCTCGTCACCAGCGGGCTGTTCTTTACATTTGAGTGAGTTCATGTTTTCACATCAGCTCTACGACCCCAGGCTTCCTCCTGATGATGTGATCAACCGTGGACGACATTTCAACACACCGCACCACCCCTAACTCAAACCAGCTCCATGCATTGATATGTTATTGAAATGAAAAGCACTGTCTGCTGTATTGGATCAGAGCCGAAATCTAGAGCAGATCACCATGACTCTTAGAAAAAGCCCTAGTTCATGTTATACCTGAGTTGTTACCTAAAAAATACTCGATTCAACTTAAAACACCAGATCTCTTAACGTAGTCTTGCAAAGTTTTCCCAAAAAAGTAAACATTAGAGCTTTTTTTTAAAGCTATTAATGCAATATGTACCATAATAGGGAACACTGCCAGAATATGGAAATTGCTTTTGTTTCATTTCTGTGTAGGGAAAGGTTTTCAGTCTCCAGGGGGTGACATGGTGATTAAAAGCACTGGATCTTAATTAAAACCAGATCCCTTAGTGAGTGAAAAAGTAGATTCAGTTATAAGAGACTTATGTTTAGGTTCCTTTGGTCAGTTCATCCTCTCTCTGTCTGCTCCCTTATCCCAGCTGTCCCTTCCTGGTCAAACACCTGACCAGCTGCATACCTGTTATTGGAGGAGTCCTCTTCGTATTTGTGGTCATCACCCTGCTGCAGACCAGCTTCTCTGACCCCGGCATCCTGCCCAGAGCCACACCGGACGAGGCCGCAGACATCGAGAAGCAAATTGGTAAATGCAAACTCTGCCCCGCAGCATGGGTCACAACTACATAAGTGTCTGAAATGCCTTTGAAATTATTTCCAAGTGGCCACTGTTTCCCCCCAGAGTGGTATTCATGCAAGTTTATGACATGGAATTTAGACCACCACTGGCACCAGGGCTTTCCATGAGTCCTTGAATTTGATCCCTCAACACAAACCGCTTAAGCTCAGCTCATTACTTTGAGAGTTTACTCTGTTGCATTCAATTATGTCAAACTCCAGAGAACATACTATTTTTAGCACTGTCATAAGAGCTTACATACACTTTATTTTGCTACAGAGCACAATTTGCAGTTGGGACAGAAGGCATTGTTGTGCTAACGTCAGCTAATTTCTAAGATCAACATAAGGCAGATTCTAATGGTGCAGCAACCACTGCTTGACAGTCACATTTTAATGATGATGAAACCTGTGACACAGCAAATGTTAGAATTTCGGAAAAGACTTATTTGTCGTGACTCTGTGCAAATATTCTTCTTCTTTTGAAATGGCATCAAAGCTCCTCCATTTTGTTTGAATGTTTCAGGACTGATGGATGTGTTTCTGTCCTTTTTCCACCACAGACCTGTTTGAAGCGCTCCATCTGTTCTGTTCTCTGTCGATTTCAATCCTAACCAACATGATCTTTTCTTTCCATATGGCATCCTTCAGTGTAGTGACCTCAGTGTTTGAAGTTGGCTTCGTGTGCATCGTGTAAACTCCTACTCATGACCAAAGTTTAGGCAGTGGTGATGTAAGACTCAGCTGTACTGCTGCTGTTCCATCTATTTTCTGAAACACAGTTGTAGTGCTGGATATTTACCTGCCATTCTATCTTCAAGGAAATTCTCTGGACATTTAGTTTAACTCGGTCATAGTGATATATTTAAGTCATAGTTAGTTGTGGTGTTGGACTGGACTTCATTATAGGCCCTGTTCAGACTTGTTATTAACATCCTGAGAGATCTGATGATTTATGTGTACAAGCGAGCTATGAAAAAGATTTAACCAATTAAAGAAGTATCAATCAATGTGTGGAGTCTACAGCAGAATGGTGCAGTCCAATCATTCAGCCTTCTGGCTGTGGTGCTCAGTCTTTGCCAGGTTGCCGGGAGGATGGCGAACTACAAGACACTGACAGGAAAGTGATTAAGCAAGCAATTTATACTTCACTAAATTGAACCAATTGTTTGCACTCAATTTAGAAAACTAAAGTGGGCGAAAGCAAAATTACTGTCTGGTGTTTTATGGTGCGGCAGCCATCACACAAAGGATGACAAATTAGAAACGCCTCTCAGTCTAATGTAGTCCAGTACCACACCACCACAAACTGTGACCTGGTAATAAATATATAATTGTATATACATATTTCCAGTAATGTGACCAAAGACTGAACGCGATGAGCTTCTTAAAGATCGATGAAGTGTCAGGGCTATCACATTATATATTTATTACATTACAGTAAAGATTAGTTATACCTCATAAAGTGGAACACCAAGGCCTGTAAACGTTTATCACAGAAATGATCAAATCTCGCTGCACAGAAATCAAAGCAAGTCTTCAAATCCCTGCAAAAAAAAGATTTTTCACTCAGGTGGATGAGACGTGCGCTCACATATGCACTCTGCGTGGAGCACCACACACACACACACTTAGAACAATAAAGGTGTAACTTTAACACGAATGTTGTGCTCCGACCAGGTTCAAATGTATTCACATGCTCTGGGAGGGAAGGCAGGGTGAAAACGACCTCCTACAATTTGAAAACACTTTCTTTTGCTGTTGTTGCATCTCCCTGGTTTCTTGTATTATTTTGCAATGCATTTAAATAAGCAACGATTGGTGTATATACTGTACTCCATAAAGAGTAAAGGCGAAGACATTAAGTGCTAATAAGTAGCATTTCGACTGCAGGAACTTTCCCCTGGAACTGGGAACTCCTTTTGTTTCCGCAGCAGGTCCCTGGTTGGGGGTTAGTACTTTACAAAAGTACTAGAATGCTTTGGGTTGAGGTTCGGCACTTAATTGATTTTGCTGAGTGGCAGCATTTAATTCCGGTTTTGAATTAGCTTAGTTATTAGTGCTCACCTCATTTCCAGCATGGCCTCAATGAAACAATTTGTGAGGCGGTAAATCTCAAACAACGGTATCACCGTCTGCATTTCCTCCATGTTTTCTCGGTTTATATAGCATCGTCATTGTTGTCTTGTCTTCTCCATCACCACCTCCTGGTGGACTGGAGTGGAACCTCTTGTTGTAGCTGCCATTTGTTCACACTACAGCAGGCTAATGTGCCAATGTAGTGTGGAATGCGCAGTGGAAACACAGGCGAAGTATGGTCTGCAGGAACCTTTCATTTCACTGAGAAGGTTCCTGGGGAAAAAGGTTCTGTGTATTTTTGGTCAGAATGTGGCTGTAGGGATGGGCAAGACTATTAGTTGTTATTTCTACTTCAACAATTCAGTAAATCGAATAAATTTTGTCCTCCTGAGTCTCTTTTCTTTCCTCTGCTCTGTAGACAACACAGGAAACACTAGCTTTCGGCCTCCACCGCGCACAAAGGAGGTTCTGATCAACCAGCAGGTGATCAAGCTCAAGTACTGCTTCACCTGCAAGATGTTCCGGCCTCCACGCACCTCCCACTGCAGCCTGTGTGACAACTGTGTGGGTGAGTTACAGACACACACCAGTACCATGACATTTACCAAGGATAAATAATAAATAAAGGCTTCACAGGGCTACAGAGAACTCTGAACCTTTACCCAGAGACAATTCAGCGTAACCGTTGAACCATTCCTCTAATTTCAAAGCGTTTCTCATTCGAGTTTTATTGTTAATTCTCCTTTGTTGTGCACTTCTCCTTCAGAGCGATTCGATCATCATTGCCCTTGGGTGGGGAACTGCGTAGGGAAACGCAACTACCGCTTCTTCTACACCTTCATTGTGTCACTCTCCTTCCTGACCTCGTTCATCTTCGGCTGTGTGACCACACATCTAGCACTGAGTAGGTGTTGATTCTGGTCCACAAGAGTGTCATGGTTGAAAAGCAGGCAGGAATTTACTGGTACTGACACAACAGCACCTGCCAGTAACTGTTTGTTTTGCCTCACTTGTCAGACTGCCAGACGGGTGTGGTTTACCACATCAGAGCAATTTAGGTGTCTGATAAGAAGAATATACACACTGTTTTGATTGTGAATGTGATAAGTGGCTGGTATTTGTCACCACCTGTCTGTCTGTTTGTTCATATTGTATTTCATCCTTACATCCTGCTCTTTGTAGGGTTAGAATAAACAGAACTGCTTACAGCTTGACTCTGGCATAGCTGCCTCCACAAAAGGACAAATTAAATCTCAATTTTTGGTTTGAGAATTCCAACACACACTTTTTAATAGATTCAGAAACACACTAGGGGCCTCACTGTTAATTATTTCCTGTCTTTCAGGGGCTCAGGGTGGAAAAGGTCTGGTGTTTGCTCTGCAAGAGAGTCCAGGCAGATATCCTTTACTCACAAACATGTTCTAGGATTTCCTCATTAAATGGACTCTGTCAGTGTGTAGGTTTTTATTCTACCATTTCTCAAATATACTGAGGTTCTCCTTAACCCAACCTTTCACTGCAGTGGAGCTGGTGATATGCTTCTTCTCAGTATGGTCCATCTTGGGCCTCTCAGGCTTCCATACTTACTTAGTTGCTTCCAACCTGACCACCAATGAAGACGTGAGTAATGCATTATGCATCCTTAAGACTCTAAAAAGTATTTATTTTTGATGTTTGACACAAGTTTGAACCAGATTTATGCTAAGTAATGAGGAATACCAATATTTAAAATCAAGATAATGAATTTAAAATAAATTGGAAGCTGCACGTTTTTTTGATTGTGTTACAATAGATTATTTGTGAAATGTGGAGATTTTTAAAAACACGTTAAAACCAGGATTGACTGTATATTTTTCCAGATTAAAGGCTCCTGGTCAGGGAAGAGTGGAGAAGATGTCACTAATCCATACAGTCATAAAAACATCTGTATCAACTGTTGTTCTGTGCTCTGTGGACCCATGCCACCCAGGTTAGTCTTCTAAGATATAATATGCAACAGTGATATATAAGTGTCTAAAAGAGAACACTTACACTATCTTAAATGTTTCCAATAATGTTCACAACCACGAAAATCCCCAATTTTATTCATGGTAACAGGATGTTTCATAGTGGTCACCTTTTAACTGCATCATATCTGCTTAACCCGTAACTTTACCCATGTCTGCTACGTAGGACGAAGTTAAAACACACTGCTAACAAGATCCTGCGCTGCTGCACAACATCTTCAATAGGGATTTTGTTGTTGTTTTGAATGAGAGACACCTAATGGCTGGAACAACATTTGAGCTTAAGTCTCGCTTAGCAAATGAAATATAATGGAATCCACAGACAATTAGATCCTAAAGCTAAAGTCATCTTAACATATTTCATATACAGACTACATTTGCTGATTATTTGTGGAAATGCACATTAAATATTCAAGTACAAAGAATTTGTGAACATACTGCGACACATTCAATCACAATCTCTTGTTCATGTGGTGGAAGAATGAGCTCTGGTCTCACAATTTATGTTCTGGCACCACAGTTCATTTCAGCGAGGCTTGTGTTAATTATGAGGTTTTACCCTGCAGGGAAAGGTTTGATCAACTGATTATTATGCAATATCCCCAAACCTTTTGAGTCTACTTGCTGTGCACATTTCAAAAGGATGCTGACTTTCCTTTCTATCTCTTTCAGCTTGATTGACAGGCGAGGTTTCCTGCCCTCAGATGAATCTGTTCAGACAGACAGCGCGGAAATCGAGGTGCCAACCGCGGCCACTAAAGGCGAGATAAATGTGGTAGGCGGATCTTCCCAGCTTGCTGTTGGCACGCAGGAAGCCCTCTCTCCTGTGCCTGCACCCCCCAACTCCCAGCACAACTCTTCCTCTGCCTGACAGAAGCCTTATTGCCTGCTGTGCTGCCTGGTGTTGACTGCAGTGTGTTTGTTAATCCGTACAAATATTGTTTTTATATGACAGCCAGAGGTTTACACATCAGTGTTAAGAAGTTCTCTCAGTGGAAACAGGACTGTGGTCACAGGGCTCTCCCGCACACAGCCTAAGACAAAGAAGTTGCTTTTCAGCAGCTTTATTATCCACCACCCACACAAGCTAACATCAATCACACATAACTTGGCTTTACAGCACTGTCTCTATCCACCTCAGTCCTTGTGTGTCTCTGAGTGTCCCCCGTGAGGAAGCTCAACCTGCCTTATAAAGCTGAGGATCAATCGCTCTTACCTGCGCTGATTGATCCTCTGGTGCAGGAGAAGGTGCTCTCCCCTCCCCCTCACCTCCACAAAGACTTTTTGAGAAAGTGTCACACTGTACTAAATGCTGAGATGGTTTTATTAATATTTGATCATTAATAATCAGTGAAACAAGCTCCCTGATTGCTGGCTAAAGACGGGAATATCATCGAACTCACCCGTGACCCTGGGGTGGGTGAGGTGGAAGGGAGTTGCTGTGTGCCTTGTCAGCCTGATTTGTTTAGACACCTGCTGCAGGCAGTTAATGCACTGCTGCACAGCTCAGTCAATCATGAACAAATCAGGTTAAATGCTATTTTTCTTCTGATATAAGCACCACAAATATCGATCGCTACATATATCTATATTTTTATGTTTTATATTTTTGACTTCCTTTATCTTTTTGAAATTCTACACCTCAGTCTTAAGTAGTTCCTGTGCTTTTTGTTGACTCAGGGTTTTTTATAAGGGAGGAAGAGTGCAAGGGTTGTCGTAAGAAGAAGACTGAGGTCCTCCTCTTCCTCCTCCTCACAGAGCTGCAATTGTTGTTCTCTGACAGCGAGACACAGGAAAGTAAAGGCTATACAGCCACCTTTGTTTACGAGACGTAACTGTGAGCCACAATACTCTCACATCAAGTAGTAGAGTAGCAGCTGTTCAGCATTTAGAATTGAATGCGGCCCTTTTTTGTTGGCACCAAAAGATTTATTTGTGCGTACGGAATAAGCTGAAAGCCAGTTGAAGCTGAAGTGTTGGTAGTCTTTCGTTTGTTTTATTACTGAGTTGAGTTTGATTAGGGTGTAAAAATAGTGTTCTGAAGCTGTGGAGAAAAGCTTTTTCTGCTCCGACTGTACCTCGTTTTATTGTGTTGGTTCCTCTTCTCCTGTCTCGTGTTCACAAGAATATTTATATGTATTAAAAAGGTTAAAGTGCCAATTTATCTGTTGCAAATCAACTCCATAACCACATCTTCCCATACATGCCTTTATTCTTTGTTTTCTCTTGGTATGTGTTTTGAGTTGTCCACCCTGTGTTTATATATTTTAGTTTTTTCATGCATCACAAATGCGAACATTTAATAAAACATACATACTTTTCCATGCAGTTCATCATCTGTGTGTGCTCATTTTTCATTGTTTCATTTGTCCTCCTTCCCAGTTTCCATATTCAAGTATAATTGTGTTTTCCAGGGGGAGAAAAGCTCTGAACTAACTGCCCCAGCATCCGGGTACATGTTTTCTGTGTCCTAACTTACTGTCCTGTATGTGGTCTGTCTGTATCAACACCAACACCAGGAGGAGAAATGTCTTTGCAGGGTCCTGTACTGGCTGATTAGCCACATTTAGAGCAGGAAAAGCAAGACAGAGCTTGGTAGGCCTGTATCGAGAGAGAGGGAAAGTGAGTGCATAGTCTCCACTGTTGTGCCTGCATGTCCTCGTTCTGCCCTCATGCTTTGCTTTAGGTTGTACACATTGCAGAGTGTATGATTAAAACAATACAGGTTGCATTGTTTGTGAAACTACTTCACAGTGCCGATTTTAAGGGTGTAAGCTATGGCTCATATGTATTATCTTTAATATTTAAAATTTTTATCCCATCTAATTATACCAGTAAGGATACAGTACCTGATGGATGTATCATTTGTGAGTTTAGGGTGCAATCAGTGCAATATTGCCACATGCTGCCCGAGGAACTAAGGTGTTACACAGTGTAAAACAAAACACATGTTATTGATTATTGACTAACAGTTGTTTAAATGGTCTTAAGCTTCAGGGCTTAAGACATTTTAACTGTTGCTGAAAAGCTGAATTAATTAAAGCTACACTAATTCCTATTTTTATGAAACTGCCTTTCTGCCCCGATGTGATTCGCTTATAGTGAGAGCTAATTATCACACAGCTCCACTTCCCCATAGCCCTATTGTTTTTTATCACCTTTCAGCTCATTGCTTGATTTTGATGGGGCACACCATCAACTCTCTACCCTCGCTTCAGCTTTGTATCCAGCAGCAAGCAGCTGTTTTCAGGGACAAACATCCAAACAATCACTAAACAACCAATTAACAAATGAAGTTAATGAAGGTAATGGAACATTTAGCAGCTGGTATTTTCCTCTCTCGCTGGAGTCCAAAAGAAGAGCTAAAAGGAGAAGTAGTAGCTGTACAATCATCAAAGCTGCTTTCAGACATGCACTGAACTGAGCTTCTCCGTATTCTCTCCAGAGGAAGTGCATGTGTGAACACAAAAGTCCGAATGTTGCAGGTGTGTGTCTGCTCTCTCCACCTGGCCCCCGAGTATAAAGTCTGCTGAAAGTCAGGTTAATCCGATGTGAGAACACAGCAGGGGATCATAAGTGCCGACATCAGTGTCAATGTACTGTAAAACAAAAACATTTGATCTCTGCAGCGGAATTAATATGTGACATCCTGCCTCTGAATCCCCCGGAGGATTTGTTGCTGTTGAACGAGTCTGAGTGGAGAACCTCCTGCTGTGTTGTTCATTTGTGAAAGGAAACCTATGGAGAAAGTCCAGACCCTATTTCTCCTGAGTTTCTCCCAAAAGGTCATGTCTGACAACAGCTGTAGCTGTACACATTTCAGTTGCATCATGGGATGTGGGATCCAATGTTTTGGGAGTTCAATAGGGGATAAAGTCCACTGCTGTTAATCCATACTTTAAAAAAAACTTCATTAAGTACACAGTTCTAGCAGACAATGCTCTAAGATGTTCATCGGACTCAAATATGTCTAATGTGCATCTACATGTGAATCTATGGCATGAAACGTTGCTGATTCAGAGCCCTCGTGTGGCCTGCTTGCACTGCAGCTTGTCTTTTGTTCATCTTTCACAGTTGTTGCTGTATTCACTGCAGTGATTTAATACCCTGCTCCTCTCACCGGTGCTGGTCTCGTTTTTTTCCCACCTTCCCTCTTTCTGCCTCCTCAGTGCACACAGGGAACTAAAGGTCTGCTGGAGTCAGCCACTCTCCCTCCTCTCCTGTCCACCTCGTGCCCACAGGGGAAACCTCCGACAGCTCATGCCTGTGCGGACAACAGTGCAGCGGTGAACTCTGACCCCTCACCGGTGAACTCCATGGGCTGCGGGGCCCGCCACACCGCCGGCTCTCAAGGTGATACCTCTCCTTCACATCACACCAAGACTCACTCAAAGAAAAGTAAACCTGCAGCTTTACAGATTCCCAAGCCCACTTTCGAAGCCCCTGTTCCCCCTACCTCTCCGGATGCTGCCAGCTTCGCCCCTTTGCACTGACGGACCTTATGATGACGACTTTGAGTGAAAACCCACATTGTTTGAAGCTTGCATGCTGTAAAACAGTGAGATACAAGTATGCATTGATTTTTTCTCTTTCGTTGTGTGTTGGAAGTCCTGGGTGTGGTCATTGAGGAAGGGGATGACAATCACAAAGATGTAATTTGTGGGATGTCTGTAAATGATGGTTTAGTATGGAAAGCAATTTTAAAGATGGACTGACAGAGCCACATGTCCTTCAGTGGCTCTCATGTGAAATGTGAATTGTCCTGATGATGCATCAGGTGGAACAGTCTTTGTACGAAGGGTTAATGCTCAGAATGTGTATTTGTAAAGAGAGATGCTTCTCTTAAAGGGACAGTCCGTCCCAACTATGGAATTCACAAATGTGATTTCCATACTATTGTGCAGCTCAGTTTACAGTGTGAATTTCAGCCATTGTCTCCCTAAGCTGAAAAGCAGAGTTACAGTTTGTACTGATGATGTCATGTCGAGGCACTGAGCAATGGAACAAGTGATGGAGTTTGGCGAGAAGCCGTGGCGCTTTTTCAAGAATACGAGAGACAGTTTTTGCATTATTTCGTATCTGAATGCTCTGAAAACTCACATTTATGTACAAGTGGCTGACAAATTAAAAGGAAAAACCTACATGAATTGTTTTGTAAAAACACATTCAGTGCTCTTTGTGCTCACTGTGTGTGAGAAATGTCAGTCAGTTTGCAGCCCATGTAATACAGCAGGAGATTATCAGGAGGATTCACCACGAGCGAGTGTGTGTTAACAACCTTTCTAACTCGCAAAACTGAAAAAAACAAGAAGAATCCAAATATTTCAGGATGAAGAAGAGAAGCCACACACGTGGACGGCGCTAAGATGTCAACTGAAAAATGCAACAAGATTCTATTTTTGGTGATAATAAGGTGATAAGGTCCGACGCTGACGTTGATGTGCTGTAAAAAAAAACATGTGATCTCTGCCTAAAGGCTCTGGAGAATTTTTCTGTCTTGTTGTCTGACCAGAGAATCTCCTGCTGTGCTGTTCATGTGTGAAAGTCAAACTCCGAAGAAACTCTGGACCCCATTGTATGAACATTCTCGGGAGTCTGAAAACTGCTATAGAGTTGCTAACTCTGTGGAAGTCGATTTGAGGGTTGAACACCATTCTTTCAAAAGATATTCCCTTATTTTGTGTTTTTATGATTTTTCTTGGTTGAGACCAGGATGAATAACTGCTCCGGCTTAAGAATGCTGTGTTTACCACTTGGTTACTTTGAAATGATTAATTGCAAATTAGTTTGGTAATGTACATTGCTAAAGACCAACATCCGCAGGCATAATTTGGCAAGATGCTTGAAACAAAGTCAGATTGTTCGGCATTTCCCACTTCCTTGATTTCCCTACTGAATTGTGTTGGGGTTCAACAGTTTCACTGACTTTCCAAAACTTACATTTTGCCTAGCATGCCCCCACAATGCCACTGTGATGATGATCTATGTTTGCTTCATGTATACTTTAACATTAACGTTAACATTTTCAACCTAATATTGAGCGTCTGTTGTCCATATCTCTATTATTTTCGCTTTTATCAAGATCCAAGCTTCAGCATGTTATTGCTTCTTTAGCATTGTTTAAAAAAAAAAGATATTAACATCAATATGATTACAAATCAAATCACTGGTAAACTAAAGCCGACTTGGAACCAATTTCAGTGAAGGAGAACATTTAAAAACCAACATACATACTGGGGTGGACCAGAGTGATTTCTGCCCCCTGGCCCTATTAACTCGAACCCTGGGTGGAGAGTGGTATCTGACACACTGCTCCAAAATCTCACAGGCGTTCAGCTGGCAGAACATGTGCATGATTCAAACCATTTTTCCACTATGTGAAAAAAAAATTGTGTGGGTCTGGAGGTTTTTCCTTTAAATTTGTACAAATAGCCACGTGTCTTAGTGTGAACAGTTCCGATTTCCGAGCTGTAAAATATGGCAGTAAATGCAACTGCATGCTAATAACTAAAGATGTATTTTTTTGGTATTTGTGTTTATTTAAATAGATTCATACATCACACCTCAGAGGACCCCCACCTGAGCTGAAGTGTCATCATTCATCACTTGTGTTAATATTAATATCATGTCATTTAAGGCTCAAATGTCCACTTCCTGCTCATACTTTGTCTCAGCAAGCGAAACGGTCGCTCTCCTCTCTCCTCCACTTTTGACTTTGTGTGCTTTGACAAATCTAAAATAATTGGTTGTGTCGGTTTGCTCTCAGGTGGAACGCTACAGTGGAGGTTAGGTATTCAATATGCAAGTTCTATGTGATATTATATCATGTTAATCCACATTTTATCCTGACGGCATGGCTGCACAAAAATGCCCCAAAAAATCCTCATCCCCATCCACTTAAATGTAGGCATGCATATGCACACACACACACTGTTTGTAGATCACTTGAGGAGCGTTAAGTCGACAAGCATCAGTTCATGTAGCGTATTCAGCCATCATCTCCATCATCGGCGAGAGCAAATGCAAGCAATGCGTTTAAGAGGAGAAACAGTTGCACTGTATTTGTTATTTAAATGCTACTGTTGAAATAAAGGAAAATAAACTTCACTGCAATAACTTTGGTCTTTAATTCCTCTGTAGTGCCGCACAATGTCACTAGATGACAGTGATGAGCTGTAAACGTACACTGCCGCCAGCTAATCCAGAGCAGCCCCAACACTTCATGCTGCAGACAACATCACCTTCTTTTGTGTCCTTATTACTGATTCTCCACCTCCTTCAAGTGCAACAAGTGAAATAAGACAATTCAGGCATTTTATCCTTCATTTTGAGTCTTATTTTAAATTAAATTGGTCACTCACAAGATAAACTGTACTCAGGAAGCAGCTTGCTGTGGATCAGGAGGTAGAGAGGGTTGTCCATTAAACAGAAGGTCGGTCGTTCGATCGCTGGCTCTTTCAGGCTGCATGATGAAGTGTCTTTGTGCAAGAGTTGAACCCCAAAATTGCTGCTGCAGTGTGCGCATAGTATGTGATGAAAACAACAACAAAAGTCGCAGTGAATATGTGTGTGAAAGGAGCAATGTTGCCTGTACTGTGACACGCTTTGAATGGTTGATGAGATAGAAAAGCATATATATATATATTTCTTTTTATAGACGGTCATGGGAAAAGTAACAAAGTAACAATGAATGAAAAATATAATATTTCGAGTTTGACAACATTATTTGATTTGCTTCATTGTGACTCTGTGTGTAGTTGGATCACATATATTTCCCTCCATGGCAACACAACAGAAACACGACGACCTGTCATGTGGTATCGGGTTAAATACATAATTTGTCTCACATCAAATGAAAAACAACCAAACCTGTTCTAAGTTTGGCAGGAAACAGTGTGTTTCATGTGGGAATCATTAAACACTCAACGTCACAGACATAAATGTTGTCTGGCGCTTTACTGTGTTCAAAAGAAACTGCTGAAAAATATATAGAAATAAAAGAAAAAGAAAATGCAGTCTCACCTAAGTCACTGAATTCCATCCCTGATTTTTTAAGTGACACAATATGCAGCTTGGTAAGTTCTGGAATGTTTGTGGCATCGGTAAATGCTACAGATACATGTCCCATTTGAAGGGATCAAACCACTTAATATTCATTAATGGTGTTAAATTGAAGTCAACTGAAACTTGAACACAGTCAAGTTTTGAGATGTTCTAACAATCGCTGTAACAAAGTGTAAACCCGGAAAAAAGTTTTAAAGGAAGTCACGTGTGTCATACTCATGCAGACATTAATGGAATCACTAAAATGTCCCGTCCTCATACTTGCCAATCCACATTCCCACTGTAAATGTGAAAATGCAAATCAGGACATGATTGTGTAAGAGGAACAAGGCTTGAAAAAACATTTGTGATTTAGAAATACTTGTTTGATTAAGTTCCATCAGTTCGCTTCCAGATGGACATAATTTCGAAATTCTCCAGCAGCTACTTCTGTTGGACCGAAGGAAATCACAATGATAGACTCTCAATAACTCCTTCAGTTCATTTTAAGGACTCTCGTTATCCGCCTGCACTCTTGCACTGAATTTTCCACAGACGAGTTTATGACTTCTGTGTGAATATTTGAGTGGCTGTGAACAGGTGGGCTGTCGAGCCTTCAGGTTGCTCGCTGTTGAAAAAAAAAAAAAAGCTGGAGTCTGGTACTAAGAGCATGTTCTGTGGGAAAACCCTCAGCCCCCATCACCAACACCATGACGAGGGTAAATAGGTGTTACCATCAGAAATGTGATACTGCTTTGGCTCTTAGCATGTTGTTCTCAAGCCAAGGTGTTGCTCACAGAAACAAATGGGAAAAGGATGTTCCCACTTCAGGGATTAATTAGGTGTTATTTTAGATTGAATTGTTGTTGTTGTGCAAACTACTCCCTGAAGCTCTTCCATGAGCCAAAGTCCTTGTTGTGTTGTCTTTTAAAGCTGCTTTCAGACACACACTGATCTCCAGAAATCCTCCTGACATTCTCCAGAGGGGCTGTATGGTAAAAAAATATTTGGGAATGTAAAAGTGGAGACATACACGCAGAAGATGTAAAGATACGTTTTTGTAATAAAAGCTGACGTGGGTGTCAATATGCTGGAAACAAAAACATGTGATCTACGTGGCAGAATCAATACTGTATGTCCTGTCTCTGCGTGCTGCGCCACCTGAATCCTTCGATTTCTGTGTTGTGAACGCGTCTGAGTGGAGAGCCTCCTGCTGCGTTGTGCATGTGTGAAAGGCAAACTGCAGAGAAAGTCCAGACCCTATTCTCTGGACACCCTTCGGATGCCATGTCTGAAATAGGCTTGACTGTTTTGGAGGCCATGCTTTAAAGCTGCACTAATCAGTATCCTTATATCAGCAACTGTTTCATTTAAATGACAGGAATTTGAACAGTGTCCCTCCTTTTTTAACGCACCCACAAAAAAGGATCATTCTACTCTACACTTCCATGACTTCAACCTGAGCTTTTTAATGCTTTTTTAAGCACATTGTTCTTAGTTGTCTTTGCTCCTTCCTCCCAGCAGCAGCAGCAGCAGCAGCAGCAGCAGGCGGATGATTTATACACCCCCTGCCCAGTATCAACCCTCCAGTATAAATCTGTAGGCAGCGTAAGAGCCAATTATTTTTTGGACTCTCGTTCAGCAGGTGGACAGAAACACAACTCCATTGGGAAGTTATTTACCTCTGTGTCTGCTTGGTTTTTAAAGATGCCTTCATCCATAAGTTTAGTATTAAAGAAACCCACAAAGAACTATCCCCCAAGTCTGTTCCTCTGCACAGTTTCTAGCTGGGCCATAACCTCCTTGTTATGATTCAACACTGCTCTATCAATCTTACTTCCACCCACAGCAGGCACTTGTTTTAAGTGAAAACCCACTGTATCGTACAGTACCGCCCAACAAGAAACAACAGACAAAGTGTCACCTGGTATATGTATGTTTTAAACATCAGTAAACCTGAGGCATCCTCTCAGCTCTCTGTCTGGCAAATGAGCGTATTCAGCAGCGTGTCATATGTCCATCACTACTTATCAGAGCAGGAGCTGATTAAAACCTGTCTCCTGCAGCTTATAATATCAATTCCAGAAACTTTAAATGACCAGGTCCATGCACAGTATGATTCTAATGGCTGACTTGTATCTGGTCGATTACAGATGAAAATTGGCCATTTTGCTACAAAATGTGTACGGTGATGGTGATCAGTGTGCATAGTAATTGAAAATGAATAAATAAGGTACCTCTGACTAATATTATCGACCTGCAGAGCTGGAGAGCCCCTTCCTGCCACTGTCTGAGATGGACAACCATCGATTTAGACCTACGCATGCGTGAGTTCTAGACCCAAACAAAAGGTAAAAATGGTGGTGCAACGAATATCTGTAGTACTCAGGTCTCTCTTGATATTAATGAGATAATAAAGTTGTATATATAGGAGGGAATTCCTTTTGAAGGAGATTCATTCCTCCAATACAGTTCCATCGACTTGGCAAGAGCACTGAAGCTACGTTACGAAGATGTGTACCAATACTAAAAGGTAAGATTAATTTCAACACTATGATAAATAAATAAAGACAATGGTACTGTCTATGAATCTGGCAAGAATTTTAAATGATTCAATCAGAAATAATAAATGCAACTGCTTATTACCTTGTGTTTAAAACAAACACTATAGGAATACAATATGTATCCCTTAGTTA